AAAAATTAGCTGGGTGTGGTTATCACACTCCTATAGTTCCAGCTACTTGGAAGGCTGAGGCAGGAGGATCACTTGAGCCTGGAAGGCTGATGCTGAGCTGAGATCTGACCACTTCACTTTAGCCTAGGTGACAGAGTGAGACCCTGTCTAAAAAAAAAAAAAAAAAAAAAAAAAAAGATTTCAGATGTATAAAGTTAGTAAAAAAGGTAGGGAAAAGTAAGATGTCTTTGGCATCATACTGATAATACTGATATAATAACATATATAGACATATAATTCTCTCAGTTTTAAAATACTTGCATGTCTACAATATGCGTTTTTCTTTTCTAGGACTTTTTTTTTTTTTTAAACCATTTAGAGGTGTACTGTGTGTCTATCCAAGTTCAAAAGCAGGAAATGGGAGTCTTCTCAAATATACTTACTTTTAACATAATGTCTAAAGTAGTGCCATCACCATGCTTTAAAACAGTCAGATAGACCTACAAGAGAATACAGGGACAAAAAATAATTCATTTGATTAAATATACCTTGTTTCAAGTATTCTAATACTAAGAAAAGACAGAAAGCCAGTAAACAATATTGTAAATGTTGGCCGGCTGCGGTGACTCGTGCCTGTAATCCCTGCACTTTGGGAGGCCGAGGCAAGCGGATCACCTGAGGTCAGCAGTTCGAGGACAGCCTGGCCAACATGGCGAAACCCTGTCTGTACTAAAAATACAAAAATCAGCTGGGCATGGTAGCAGGCGCCTGTACTCCCAGGTACTCAGGAGGCTGAGGCAGGGAGAACTGCTTGAACCCAGGAGGTGGAGGCTGCAGTGAGCCGAGATCGTGCCACTGCACTCCAGCCTGGGTAACAGAGTGAGACTCCGTCTCAAAAAAAAAAAAGTAAATATTATAAATGTGGATATTGCACACGAACTGTAGTTAAGGAGCTAGCAGTGCCTGTCAGCAACCACAAAGGTAAATGGCATGTTGTACCAGCAGAGCACAGCAGCTATCATGGGTATGTGCACAGCTAATCACATTTCAGCACTGCAATGCTGACTGAGAAACTTTAAACAAATAAGAAGATGGCTATAAACCACTTAAATGGTATATATTAAATAGAGTTAGATGTGGTTTGTGGGTCAGTTCTTAGGTCAATTTTGGCACTTAAAAAAAGTTCCAAGCCGGGCATGGTGGCTCACACCTGTAATCCCAGCACTTTGGGAGGCCAAGGCAGGTGGATCACCTGAGGTCAGGAGTTCGAGACCAGCCTGGCCAACATGGTGAAACCCTGTCTCTCCTGAAAATACAAAATACAAAAATTAGCCGGCCGTGGTGGCAGGTGCCTATAATCCCAATTAGCCAGGAGGCTGAGGCAAAAGAATCACTGGAACTGAGGGGACAGAGGCTGCAGTGAGCCAAGTAGCCACTGCACTCCAGCCTGGGCGACAGAGCAAGACTCCATCTCAAAAAAAAAAAAAGTTCCATGCTTCACAAAATGATGTAGTTACCTATAAGTTAAGGGAATTTATCATGAAAACCTACAGGACTCCTCAGATCAGCGGAGAGAATCTGTTTTCCTTCCACGTGGTCCTTAAACCGACGACGGGCTTCTTCTAACGTTGCCTTATGTCCTGCTTTTCCTAGTTTTCCCAGAACCAAGCCCCTCAGGAGTGCATCTAGATGACCTGATTTGAGAGGTAAAAGAAACATAAGACTACTTAAAAAGCCTATTTTTATAAATTTGTCATCTGGATATCTTATAATTGTGCTATACCAACTCTATGGTCTTGAACAAACACACTCAATTAACTTAATACCTGAGAGAATACTTGTTTTACATTTATCAAATCGTAAGAGTGATATGCTAAACAGACTAGACAAGCAAATAAAGTTGCTGACTTTCTCTGCAGTCACAAATGCCAACTATCTGAATTTACTAAATGTTTACTCAGTCTAGTTAACTACTCTGCTAAGGATTATGTGTGAAAAGGACAGGCTTACATCATGTAGTTTTGACCTAAGGTTCAAAGAAAGATCACATATCGTACTAGTATGTTCTATGTATAATAAATTGAAATCTTAGATTTTAAAAATGAAAATCTGAAGGGTCCATTCCTCCAAGACACCCAAATAGCCAATAAGCACATAAAAAGATGTTTAACATCATTAGTCGTTAGGAAAATGCAAATCAAAACCACAATGAGATACCAATTCATACCCACTATGATGGCTATAATAAAAAAGATAATACCAAGTGTTGGCAAGGATGTGGAGAAATTGGAACCCTCAAACACTGCTGGTGGGAACACAATATGGTATAGCCACTTAGAAAATCAGTCTGGCAGTCCCTCAAAAGGTTAAACATACAGTTATGGTCAGGCACAGTAGCTCATGCCTATAATCTGAGCATTTCTGGATGCCAAGGCAAGAGGATCACTTGAGCCTAGGAGTTCAAGACCAGCCTGAGCAACACAGCAAGACCGTTTCTACAAAAAACTTAATAATTAACCAAGCATGGTGGCATGTGTCTGTAGGCCTAGTTACACAGGAGGCTGGGGAGGGAGGATCGCTTGACTCCAGGAGGTTGAGGCTGCAAGGAGGTTGAAGCTGCAGTGAGCTATGATCACACTACTGTACTCCAGCCTGGGCACAGAGCAAGACCTTGTCTCTTTTTTCTTTTTTTTGAGATGCAGTCTCGCTCTGTTGCCCAAGCTGGAGTGCAGTGGCATGATCTCAGCTCACTGCAGCCTCTGCCTCCCAGGTTCAAGCAATTCTCCACCTCAGTCTCCCGAGTAGCTGGGAATACAGGGGTGTGCCACCACGCCTGGCTAATTTTTTGCATTTTTAGTAGAGACAGGGTTTTGCCATGTTGGCCAGGCTGGTCTCGAACTCCTGACCTCAGGTGATCCACCCAAGTTGGCCTCCCAAAGTGTTGGGATTACAGGCGTGAGTCACTGCCACCCAGCCGATCGTCTCTTAAAAAAAACAAAAGGAAAGACGAGTGGTGGCTCACGCCTGTAATCTCAGCACTTTAGGAGACCGAGGCAGGTGGAACATGAAGTCAGGAGATCGAGACCATCCTGACCAACATGGTGAAACCCCATCTCTACTAAAATACAAAAAATTAGGTGTAGTGGCATGGACCTGTAGTCCCAGCTACTCGGAAGGCTGAGGCAGGGGAATCACTTGAACCCGGGAGGTGGAGGTTGCACTGAGCTGAAATCATGCCCACAGCACTCCAGCCTGGAGACAGAGTGAAACTCCGTCTCAAAAACAAAACAAAACAGTCATCGTATGACTCAGCAATTTCGCTCTTAGATATATATCGAAAATAAATGAAAGCATACGTCTACACAAAAACTTGTATACAAATGTGAATAGAATTCATAATAGCCAAAAAGTGGAACCAGTCCAAATGTCCATCAGTTAGTGGATAAATAAAATGTGCTATGTATCCACACAGTGGAATATTGTTCATTTGTAAAAAGCAATGAAAGGGGCTGGATGTGGTGGCTCCCGCCTGTAATCCCAGCACTTTGGGAGGCTAAAGTGGGCGGATCACCTGAGGTCAGGAGTTCAAGACCAGCCTGGCCAACATGGTGAAACCCCGTCTCTACTTAAAATACAAAAATTAGCTAGGCGTGGTGATGCAAGCCCGCAATCCCAGCTACTCGGGAGTCTAAGGCAGGAGAATCTCTTGAGCCCAGGAAGTGGAGGTTGCAGTGAGCCGAGATCGCGCCACTGCACTCCAGCCTGGGCGATAGAGCGAGACTCTGTCTCTGAAAAAAAAAAAGAATGAAAGGTCTGGGCATGGTGGCTCACACCTGTAATCCCAGCACTTCGGGAGGCCAAGGCAGGCAGATAACGAGGTCAAGAGATAGAGACCATCCTGGCCAACATGGTGAAACCCCATCTCTACTAATAATACAAAAATTAGCTGGGTGTGGTGGTGCACACCTGTAGTCCCAGCTACTGGGGAGGCTGAGGCAGAAGAATTGCTTAAACCTGGGAAGCGGAGGTTGCAGTGAGCCGAGATCGCACCACTGCACTCCAGCCTGGCAACAAAGCAAGACTCCCTTAGAAGGACTGATACATGCTACAACACAGATGAACCTTGAAAATATTATGCTAAGTGAAAGAAGGAGATATAAAAGGCCAAGTATTTTATGATTCTATCTATATGAAATGTTCAGAATAGGTAAACCCATGAAATATAAAGTAAATTTGTGGTTGCCAGGAAATGGAGAGTGACTGCCGGTGGATACAAGGCTTTTTTTTGGTGGAGGGGGAGGGACTGAGAGTGGGGAAGGTGAAGAAATTGTTCTGGAAATTTGGAGGTGATAGTTGCACAATCTTGTGAACACACTAACAAATACTGAATTGTATACTTTAAAAGGGTGAATTTTATGGTATGTGAATTATATCTCAAAAAAAGTTAACACCCAGGCAATAAATGATTGAGAAAAAAAAAACAACAGTTAACGACACACAAATCTGATGAATTGCAGCGGTACAATGGATAAATAAAATGTAGTATATTCATATGATGAAATACTACTTAGCAATAAAAAGCAATGAACAACCTGGATATATCTCAGAAACATTATGCTGAGTGAGAGAGGTAGGTTTAAGAACAGAACACACATTATATGATTCTATGTATATAAAATAGAAGAGATAAATATTAATGTAGGTGAAAGAAATCAGAATGGCATGTGCCTGTGTGGGGTGGGCAGGGGAGGCTCAAGTAGTAGGGACCAATTAGGAAGGAGCCTCAAGCAGCTTTCTGGGGGATGGAAATGTGGTATGTGTTTGCCGAAAGTCACGGAACTGTAACATTTAGATTATGCATTTTGCTATATTTAAATCATAATTTAACCAAAAATAATTTTAAGAAAACCATCAGAGATCAATAGATAACTACACATTATTGTGATGATTCTTACAAGAAGTAATTTATAATTCTGGCAGCTAGGAAATTGAAGGCATTCTCCCTATATTGTAAAGATGGTTTTGAAGTCAAAAAGTGTCACATTATCATCATGAAAGAAAAGTGCAACACCCATTAATTTACCTGCATCTGTGTCCATGTACTCCTATCTTGTCATTATTCATCTGTGCTCCTATCTAAAACCAACTCCTTAACTTCAGCACTGGATCTCAACTCCTCTTGATTATTCAGCTGTCACTACAGCAATAACCCCTCTCTCTCACAACATGAATTTTTCCATTACTACTGCATTATGTTCAAATAGTTGCAGAAAAATGTAGTATAAAATCTCCCAACTTAAAAATTCCTTCCTTTACCCCACCTCTCTCTCGCCTACCCCTTTTCTCTGATCTTCTCAGCAAAACTCCTTTTAAAAGTTGTCTAAGTGTGTTGTCTCCATTTCCTCTCCTTCCATTCTAAAGAACCTGCTGCAAAAGTGGAGAATTCATTATTGTTCCCCACTACTACACAAAAATTGTTAAATGTAATATTGAATTAGGCTTCATCATTCTATTTGATTTAGTGTAGTAGCATCTGACACAGCTGATCACATTCCCTCTGCCTTCATCTACTGTTTCTTTTCATCTACTGTTTATTTAAATTCTGGGATACCCCTTCTCTCTCCTGGCTCTCCTACTTCTACCTTACTGGCCAGTCTGTCTCTTTTGCTGATTCTTCCTCTTCTACACAATCTCTAAATCCTGAACTCAGACCTCTTTTTTCCACTTATACTCAGTCACTGGTTGATCTCACCCAGTTTTGTTTTGGTTTTTAAAGACATGAGGTTGCCCACGCTGGGCTTGAACTCCAGGACTCAAGCAATTCTCCTGTCTCAGCCTCCTGAGTAGCTGGGACTACAGGCATGAGCCACCACGCCCAGTTAATTTTGTATTTTCAGTAGAGATGCGGTTTCACCATGTTGGCCAGGCTTGTCTCAAACTCCTGACTTCAGGTGTTCCACTCCCCTCAGCCTCCCGAAGTGCTGGGATTACAGGTGTGAGCTACCACGCCTGGCCCTTGATTCCCTTTTACACCCAAATATGCTTCCATGCCAGGCACAGTGGCTCATGGCTGCAATCCCAGCACTTTGGGATGCTGAGGCAGGAGAATTTCTGGAGTCCAGGAGTTCAAGACCAGCCTAGGCAACACAGTGAAATCCCATCGCTACAAAAAAAAAAAAAAAAAAAAAAAACATAGCTGGGTATGGTGCATGCCTGTAGTCCCAAATACTCAAGAGGCTGAGGCAGCAGGATAGCTTGAACCCAGTAGTTTGAGGCTGCAGTGAGCTATGACTGCACCACTGTACTCCAGCCTGGGCAACACAGCGAGACTTTGTATCTTTAAAAGAAAAAAATGAAGCCGGGCGCGGTGGCTCACGCCTGTAATCCCAGCACTTTGGGAGGCTGAGACAGGCGGATCACGAGGTCAGGAGATCGAGACCATCCTGGCGAACACGGTGAAACCCCATCTCTACTAAAAATACAAAAAATTAGCCGGGCCTGTAGTCCAGCTACTCAGGAGGCTGAGGCAGGAGAATGGCGTGAACCTGGGAGGCGGAGCTTGCAGTGAGCAGAGATCGAGCCACTGCACTCCAGCCTGGGGCACAGAGTGAGACTCTGTCTCAAAAAAAAAAAAAAGAAAAAAATGTTTCTACGGCAGTCTTCCCTATCCCTATACATGGCAACTTCATTCTTCCAGTTCTGCAGGCCAGAATTTGATGACACTTCTCTTTCTTTCCACCACACAGTCCATCCTTCACCAACAGTTTCAGTTTCACCTTCAAAATATACAGAGACTTTACCACCTTTAAGTTCTAGTTGCAACCAACATCTCAAATGGATTGCTAAAATAGCCTTCTGAATGGTCTCCCTGACTCCTCTCGTCTTCTTTTAGTCTGTTCTTCAGAAAGCCGAGTAAATCAAATCAAGTTCCCCTGCCCAAAACTCCCTAATTAGCGTGTCATATCACTCAATGTGAAAGTCAAAAAACTTCTCACTGTAGCAAACAGGTTCTATAGGATCAGAAAGGTCCCCCATTGCCCTCTCCTACTCAATCCTGTCCTGAACTCAGCAGCTTTCTTGTTATTCCTCGAATACCCTAAGCATGCTCCCATCTCAGGCCTTTGTACTTGCTGTTTCCTCTGTCTGAACCACTTTTCTTCTAGGTATCCTCATAACTCTGTCCTTCATGTCTCAGTTTATGCTCAATATCACCTTATTAGAGACAGTTTCCCCAAACACTTTCTAAAAAACAGTGGCCCAGCACTCCTTATTATCTGACACCTTTATTTTTCTTAATGATACTTCCTGCCACCTAGATCTTATACATTTAATTATTTGCTATGTCTCCTATTAGAATGTAAGCCATATAAGGCAATATTTGGGTTGCTGCTGTATCACCAGCTCTTAGAATAGTATATGGCATTTACTAGCTACATAAATATTTGTTGAATCAATGAAGAAAAGACATAGAAGCTGGGACCAGGTATAGTGGCTCACACCTGTAATACAGCACTTTGGGCAGCCGAGACAAGCAGATCGCTTGAGGTCCGGAGTTCAAGACCAGCCTGGCCAACACGATGAAACCTCGTCTCTACTAAAAATACAAAAATTAGCCAGGCGTGGTGGTATGCTACTCGGGAGGCTAAGGCAGGAGAATCGCTTGAACCCAGGAGGCAGAGGTTGCAGTGAGCCAAGATGGCGCCATTGCGTTCCAGCCTGAGTGACAAGAGCAAAACTCTAGCTCAAAAAAAAAAAAAAAAAAAAAAAGACAGAGCTCTAGGTATTGCTACTATTTTTATTACAAAAGACTTCCATATCAAGACTGATCAGGAGGAAACACCACCTTTAGTTATCAGCAGATGATAAAAAATAATGATATGTAAAACCTTTAAATAATCATTCCCAATATTTCAGTGAGAGCAAAAAGAGTAAATATATGCTTACAGAAATAACCACAGAGCAGAGAACACATGTAGAAAGCAAATAATTTCCTTAATTCAAAAAGCTGGCCCCTATGTCTCTCAGCGCCTTTACAAGTTATACATAAAGGTGCCTGGTATTTACGGTAATAATAAATAAAACTTGGGAGGCGGAGGCAGGCAGATCACCTGAGGTCGGGGGTTTGAGACCAGCCTAACCAACATGGTGAAACCTCGTCTCTACTAAAAATACAAACGTAGCCGAGCGTGGTGGTGCATGCCTGTAATCCCAGCTACTTGGGAGACTGAGGCAGGAGAATCACTTGAACCTAGGAAGCGGAGGTTGCGGTGAGTCGAGATCGCATCATTGCACTACAGCCTAGGCAACAAGAGCAAAACTCCATCTCAAAAAAATAAAATAAATAAATAAATAAAACAACCTAAAATTCCCTTTAGCTTTTCTTGACTAAAAATAGGCCTTTGGAATTCTGCAAAAGACTTTTATTTCCACCATGTGCACAAATTATATTTAGCAATGAACACACATAACCACTACTGTTTCTATGTTGGTAACCCATGTAACTTCACCAGCAGACTTAAAAGACTCAAGTCTTAATTTCTGGCTTGCTGAATATATAGTAACATCCAGTAGATATAAAGATGATATTAATTATATTGTTAACCACACAAAAAAGTACCAACTTCTGCCTAATTCTTTCTCCATTTAGTATATGCATTACCTTCTCCAGGTTTGGGGTCCCAGCCCAGTCTCTCCCCTATAGGTGAAAAGACATCTTTCACAAACTCCTGGATTTCCTCATAGAAGTCTGTGTGGGACAAGAGAGTTGAGAGAATCCCCAGGTTACAGCTCAGGTCGCTCCATACAGTATAATTGGGCTCATTCACAAAAGCCTCCATGACTTTTAGAACCTCTACAGTGCTAATGATTCCAGCTCGAGCCTGGGATAGGAAAAAACATAAATTAACCTAGTCTTCAAACAAAACCAAAAAACATAAGCATGCATTTTTGGCATTAACTACTGCTAGCAATTTCTTTGGTTTAAGGAAATGGGACTGTATAAGTTCAGAACACTGTTAGAATAAAAATCCTATTCAGATAACATTCCTTCTTTACTCTTTTGTTATTTTTTCTTTACAGAAATATTAGAATGAATCATTTGCTATTTATACAAGAACTACTTTAAAAAATTAAACTAAAAGTCCCATCAATTTGAGAACAACAACAAACCAGTTAACTTCTATTTCTACTCAGTTTCTGGGGACTTGGTTTTGTTACTGTTTTGAAATTTTTCATACTTTCAGAAAAACTGCAAAAATAGTTTTAGTTTTTGACATTCTTTCAAAGCTGGACCTGCAAACTGTGTCAACTTAAGCCTCTCCTTTACTCATTTCTAAAAGAACATAAACTAGAAGGCACTACAAATTCAAAGTCCTTTCAGAACTAACAGAGTTAGGAAAAAGAACTTCTGTTACAGCAGCCAGCTGCACAAACAGCTCACTCTCCTGGGACAGTTCTCTCTCGGCAATTAGATCAGCAGATGTGAGGTTTTGTGCATCAATGCTAATCTGTGTTTACACAAAGGCGGAATCCAAAACCAATGACTGCAGAGGGGAGGGAAAATTTCCAGTCCAATTTAAAGGAATACTAGGAGGAATATGACAATTTTATCATAAAGACATCTGGAAATTACCTAACCTATGCTGAAGTCATAAAGAAAATAATACTAATTGCTGCTTTAAATCCTTTCTGGAAGAAAGCCAAATATAAATATAATTCTAAAGCTAATGGGATACAATTTGAAATAAGAACACAATGTTTAAAAATTCTAGCTTTCCCAGCAAAGTACAACCACTATTTAGAAAAACATAAAATCACTCTGACTTAATTATTTTAAAAACCTATCAGTAGGGTCATTTCTTCAAGGCTCATATTTATTTCTACTGAAAAGCAAGGAATTTTTGCCTTACAAAGGATAGTTTAATTAAGAGTTTCAGAAAGCTGGCTCAGGAGTAGTGAAATGGGATTTAAATTATATAGCCTCAATCTTGTCATATTAAAAATCAGTCATTTGGTCTAGTCCCAAAGGTGTTTTTAACCTTCATGAAGACTCATATTCTTCTAATTATGTTTCAGACACTCCAGGAGAAACAAAATCTTTTAATCAGCAAAATCCATCATATTACTTAAGTCACAGATGCTTACCAAGGAGAAGAGGTCATTCTGTAATCCAAGTCGATCCACAGGGGGCAGAGAAAGGTCACGAATGCCTGGTAATAAACTTTCCAGCATGGCAGAGCTGTACTGGGTCCGATAAAACCCAACTGTTCCTAAGTTTAACTGCAAAGATATCCAGTAAGTACTATTAAACAGCTCCATTAATTTTTTAAATCAACCTTTTGTATGTTTACAAGGAGTTCTGGTTTTAGATATATATGGATGAAAAACAATTAAGACCATCTATGCCAACTAATGAATTAAAACAAGACAACACATCAAGAAAGAATGAATACGCAGACAAAAGAAAAGGGAAACTTGAAATTGTGGGGGCCAAAGTGAGAGACAGTAGAAAGAACATGGAAGGGACAAAATAATGTGGGTAAGTTTCTATTTCTAACCTCAATTTTAGGTTTACAGAAAACACTTAATATATATGAAAACACTTGGACAGTGGAATCTCTAAGAAAGCTTAGCCCTTTACAAACATTGATCTTATAAGCACAGAGACTGAACAGAATAACAATTTTCAGATCCCAATTTTAAAGAATTACATGGACCTAAAAGGCAATTTCATAAGCTTTTTGGCGTGAGGTAATTACTGACTGCATTATTCTTTTATTATTATTTTTTTTGAGATGGAGTCTTGCTCTGTTACCCCGGCTGGAGGGGAGTGGCATGATCTCAGCTTACTGAAACTTCCACCTCCCAGGTTCAAGTGATTTTCCTGCCTCAGCCTCCCAAGCAGCTGAGATTACAGGCACCCACCACCCACCACACCCAGCTAATTTTATATTTTTAGGAGAGACAGGGTTTCACCATGTTGGCCAGGCTGGTCTTGAACTCCTGACCTCAGGTGATTCATCGCACCTCAGCCTCCCTGGGATTACAGGCATGAGCCACTGCGCCTGGCAACTGCATTATTTTCTATAGGCTATTTACCAATAGCCAAAAAATATTTTTGAGAACATTTGTATTCAAAATAGTTTAATGGTAAAACAGTAAGATATAAATATTTTACTATTTATATGTAAATATTTTTAAAACCACCTCTACAATTTTAATGCAACTATCACTTTATCGATTCCCTTTATTTAACTTAATCAAAATTGTAGTGTACATAACTTTTTTCTCATTTATAAGAAAATTTTCATATTGCTACAACATAATCTTCCAGATTATAATTTCAAATGGTAATATTCCAATGAGTGTATTTTAAATATATATTTTAAAAAGTAAAACAATGCCAGGCATGGTGGCTTATGACTATAATCCTAGCTACTCCGGAGCCTGAAGTGGGAGGATCACATGAGCCTAGGAGTTTGAATCTTGCAATATAGTGACACCCCCAACTCAAAAAAAAAAAAAGTTGATAAACAGAAAAATGGCTTCTTTTTTTGGCGGGGGGCGGGAATGGAGTCTCACCCTGTCATCCAGGCTGGAGTGCAATGGTGTGATCTCGGCTTACTGTAACCTCCGCCTCCTGGGTTCAAGTGATTCTCCTGCCTCAGCCTCCTGACTAGCTGGGATTACAGGCACACGCCATCACAACTAGCTAATTTTTTTTCCGTATCTTTAGTAGAGACAGGGTTTCACTATGTTGGTCAGGCTGGTCTCAAATTCCTGACCTTGTGATGCCTGCCTCAGCCTCCCAAAGTGCGATTACAGGCATGAGCCACTGCACCTGGCTGGCTTTTTTTTTCAAAAAAGCACAAATGTCTGATACAATGTGTAATTCCTATTAGGAACATATAATTAAGAGTTTGTAGTAAATACTTTCATTATGAAAGGTACAGAGTACAGAATAATAAAAAATAATTCTTACCTATTGGTATTTCTGTGAAATGGTTTTGAAATACCAGCTAGGGAATTTTACATTTCAGTGACACAAACCGATTATTATATATGTCTGCTCTCACTGGATTATAGTACTACACATATGGTGACAACACATCATTGAAGTTAACCTTTCATTATAATGGCAGGAGAGTTTGAAGGTGTAAGACTACAAATATTTTGGTTCATATAAGCTTACACTCCATCTACTTTTTTTTTTTTTCTCCTCCTTAGTCCTATGCCTTTGGATCTGCTTCTCTACCACTACCTTCCCTAACATCTGACAAATGTCTGGACAATACTATTTGAAAATTCATCCTAGGCCGGGCGCGGCGGCTCAAGCCTGTAATCCCAGCACTTTGGGAGGCCGAGACGGGCGGATCACGAGGTCAGGAGATCGAGACCATCCTGGCTAACTCGGTGAAACCCCGTCTCTACTAAAAAATACAAAAAACTAGCCGGGCGAGGTGGTGGGTGCCTGTAGTCCCAGCTACTCGGGAGGCTGAGGCAGGAGAATGGCGTAAACCCGGGAGGCGGAGCTTGCGGTGAGCTGAGATCGTGCTACTGCACTCCAGCCTGGGCGACACAGCAAGACTCCGTCTCAAAAAAAAAAAAGAAAAAAAAAAAAAAGAAAATTCATCCTAAATTTCACAAAGGAAAGCTTAGGTTTTTTTTTTTTTCTTTGAAACTACTAACCTGAAGCAGAATTTAAAGCCAGTCATAAGATGTATACATTAAGTGAGAGAAATCTGTTTAGGTAAGATTCTGAACTCACCTTCACCCATTGGTCTGGTTTGACATTTTTCAAAACCACATTCATCTCTGGCTTGTCCATTAGAATTTTTAGTTTGGCCTGGTTGGGGTCTTCACTAGTAGAGATTGTGATAGGGACCATCCACTGGGGACAATCTTCACCTAAGCAAGAGAAGAACAAATAAATTTTGCACTGGGACAAACAGAAGGTAAGGTGGAGAGAGGAGTGGTGTTGTTCTAACCAGGAGCCTAAGCCTAACTGTTAAGTCAGTAGTTCATTCTCAGTGGTACATGAACTCTTCCAGATAACCTGAATAGTATCAGTGCAAAGGAAGGGATAATCTACTAACAAAATCACGACATGTTGTCTAAAAAAAGAAAGCAGTTAACTCACTTGAAGAATCACAAATGCAATGACTTAAACTTAATTATCATTTTCCCCTTACAGAGCAAAGACAGCAATTTTACTGTTAAATTGTGAGGAGGTGAAGGCTCTCACATAGCATTTATTACTATATATGCATATGTATTTTTTTTTTTTTGGAGATAGAGTTTTGCTCTGTCACCCAGGCTGCAGTGCGGTGGCGTGATCTCAGCTCACTGCAACCTCCACCTCCCGGGTTCAAGAGGTTCTTGTGCCTCGGTCTCCTGAGTAGCTGGGACTACAGGTACATGCCACCATGCCCAAAAACATACAATTTTTTTTTTTTTGTACTTTATTAGTAGAGATGGGGTTTTGCCATGTTGGCCAGGCTGGCCTCGAACTCCTGGCCTCAAGGGATCCACCCACCTCAGCCTCCCAAAGTGCTGGGATTACAGGTGTAAGCCACTATGCCCAGCCTTCATATATCATTTAAAAACAAATTCTAAGGTGTAGGCCTTAACAGGTATACACACTGCTGAAATATCAAAGGGTTGATTTTTATTGTTGTGATAGACAGGATACATCCTGGGAGCTGTAATGTTCCATCACAGAGGACTCATATCTAAAAGCCAAAGCTTTTGTAAGGCAGAAACACTGTCTTATATATCAGACAGCAAAACAGACTTGGCATTAAGATGCCAAACAAAAAAGAGTCCTTGCCCAGTACATTAATGGAAATGGAGCTACTTTAATAAATGACATAGCTTTATGCTATCAGGTTAAACCACAAAGTAAAATTTCTCCAATATTGGGATACTGCAAGTTTTAATGTTGCCTCTATTGGTCACAGAGTATTAGAAAAACCTGTCAGTACTACAATGTAGATTATAGGTAAGAGGCAGAAAACGGCAACTGTAACATGTACAGATTTATTTGGATAATAAAACTGTCATCTGACTTGTTAGATATTTTTTTTTCCCCCAGATAGGGTCTCGCCCTGTCACCCAGGCTAGAGTACAATGGCACGATCACGGCTCACTGCAGCCTCAATCTCATGGGCTCAAGCAGTTCTCCAACTCAGGCTCCCAAGTAGCAGGGACTGCAGATGCATGCCACCATGCCAAGCTAATTTTATTTATTTATTTTTTGAGATGAGGTTTTGCCATGTTGCCCAGGCTGGTCTCGAACTCCTGGGCTCAAGCAATCTGCCCACCTTGGCCTCCCAATGTACTGACACTACAGGCGTGAACCACTGTGCCCAGTCTTGTTAGATATATTCATTAAAAGAATAATTCTGTAGACGGGCACAGTGGCTCACGCCTGTAATCCCAACACTTTGGGAGGCTGAGGTGGGCAGATCTCGAAGTCAGGAGTTCAAGACCAGCCTGGCCAACATGGTGAAACCCTGTCTCTACTAAAGATACAAAAAATTAGCCAATCATGGTGGTGTGTTCCTGTTAATCCCAGCTACTTGGGAGGCTGAGGCAGGAGAATTGCTTAAACCCAGGAGGCGGAGGTTGCAGTGAGCCAAGATTACGCCATTGCACTCCAGCCTGGGCAACAGGGCAAGACTCAGTCTCAAAAAAAAAAAAAAAAAAAAAGTACTCTAGGCTGGCATCGGCGTCTCACGCCTGTAATCCCAGCACTTTGGGAGGCAGCTGGAGGCAGCGGATCACCAGGGGTCAGGAGTTCGAGACCAGCCTGGGCCAACATGGCAAAACCCTGTCTCTATTAAAATACAAAAATAAGCCGGCGGTAGTGGCACGCGCCTGTAATGCCCAGCTATTCAGGAGGCTGAGGCAGGAGAATGGCTTGAACCTGGGAGGCAGGGTTGTAGTGGAGCCGGAGGTTAACACTGCACTCCAAGCCAGGGCAACAAAAGCAAGAGGACGTGTCTCGCCAAAAAAAAAAATTCAGGCCCGGGGCACAGTGGCTCCATGGCCTGTAATTCAAACCACTCCTGGGGGGCAACGCGGGTGGATCACGGAGGGGGTCAGAGTTCCAAGTCAGCCTGGCCAAGACTGGTGGAAAACCCGTCTCTTACTAAAAATACAAAAAATTAGCTGGGCATGGTCCATGGCCCCGTATAATCCCAGCTACTCGGGAGGCTGAGGCAGAGAATCGCTTGAACCTGGGAGGCAGAGGTTGCAGTGAGCCGAGATCATGCCACTGCACTCCAGCCTGAAAGATAGAGCGAGACTATGTCTCAAAAAAAAAAGAAAAAGAAAAAGAAAAAACTAATTCTAACTGCTAAGGAAGGTTAAGGGCAGAAGGCCATACGTCTTAACTGAGTTGAATGTATCAGATTTTTAGTGGGTGGAACATGACAAGGCATTGATGATTCTCATATATACCTCCCCTTTGTTGAGAACTGTTGTTTTAAAGGAAGCAAGAAAGATATAGACAAACACTTTACTCCTTGATTTTTTCAACTAATCTCTTAATTTCCTGGGTAAAATTTTATAGGTAAAAAGAATCTAATGACATATGGAAATATATGAAAATGGTAGTTAAGAGCATAAATTCATGGAGTCCAATTATTTTGAATTCCCACTCTTTACCTTCTTAGATAGGTGACCTTGAGCAATTTAACTAAGCTATGCTGCAGCTTCCTCATCTGTAAAATAGAAATAATGTGGCCTACCTTATAAGGAAGCTGAGAGAGTAAACTAAGAGCCAGTTATAGTATGTAGCACAATGACTGGTATATAATAAATGTAAATAATCACTGGACTTTACTCACTTATTTACTTATTATGCCCAAGCATTAAAAAAAAAGAATTACCTACCCACCCCCACCTACCCCTCACCCCTGACACATACAGTAAAGTCCTCTTTTGGAAGATTAGGGCTAGAGACGTCACTTCCTGGATATTACTAACTTTCTTCATTCATCATAGCCTCCAATAACACACAGAAACATGGAATTTCAAAAACTAAGAAAGTGACTAAATACTATAAATACCTTGTGAATCTCCTTTTTTATTTCCTAAATTTTTTTCTTATTTTTATTTTGAGACAGGGTCTTACTCTGTCACCCAGGCTGGACTGTAGTGGCACAATCATGGCTCACTGCAGCCTTGAACTCCTGGGCTCCAGTAACCTGCCTCCCTCAGCCTCCCAAATACCTAGGACTACAGGTGTGCACCACTATGCCCAGCTAAGATTTCTCTCTTTTTTTCTTGTTTTTTTGAGACAGAGTTTCACTCTTGTTGCCCAGGCTGGAGCACAATGCCTCAATCTTGACTCACTGCAACCTCCGCCTCCTGGGTTCAAGCGATTCTCCTGCCTCAGCCTCCCGAGTAGCTGGGATTACAGACATGCGCCACCACGCCTGGCTAATTTTGTATTTTTAATAGAGACGGAGTTTCACCATGTTGGCCAGGCTGGTCTTGAACTCCTGACCTCAGATGATCTGCCCACTTTGGCCTCCCAAAGTGCGCTGCTCGCCTTCAGCCTCCCAAATACCTAGGACTACAGGTGTGCACCACTATGCCCAGCTAAGATTTCTCTCTTTTTTTCTCTGTTTTTTGAGACAGGAGTTTCACTCTTTTGCCCAGGCTGGAGCACAATGCCTCAATCTTGACTCACTGCAACCTCCGCCCTCCTGGGTTCAAGCGATTCTCCCTGCCTCAGCCTCCCGAGTTAGCTGGGATTACAGACATGCGCCACCACCGCCTGGCTAATTTTGTATTTTTAATAGAGACGGAGTTTCACCATGTTGCCAGGCTGGTCTTGAACTCCTGACCTCCAGATGATCTGCCCACTTTGGCCTCCCCAAAGTGCTGGGATTACAGGCGTGAGCCACTGCGCCCGGCTTTTTTTTTTTTTTTTTTTTTCTTTTTTTTTTTTTGAGACGGAGTCCTCGCTCTGTCGCCCAGGCTGGAGTGCAGTGGCCGGATCTCAGCTCACTGCAAGCTCCGCCTCCCAGGTTCCCGCCATTCTCCTGGCTCAGCCTCCGGAGTAGCTGGGACTACAGGCGCCCGCCACCGCACCTGGCTAATTTTTTGTATTTTTTAGTGGAGACGGGGTTTCACCCATATTAGCCAGAATAGTCTCGATCTCCTGACCTCGTGATCCGCCGCGTCCGGCCCCCAAAGTGCTGGGATTACAGGCTTGAGCCACCGCGCCCGGCTCTTTTTTTTTTTTTTTTTAAAGAGACAGGGTTTCGCGCATTTTGTCCAGCCATGCTCTCAGCCCCTAAATTATTTTTGATTTTTAATTAATTATTTATTTATTTAATTTGAGATGAGTCTCACTCTGTTGCCCAGGCTGGAATGCAGTGCATAATCTCGGC